ATACAAAGAAACAGAAAAGTGTTGACCTATACTCAGAACAAAAAAAGAGTCAATAAAATTTGTCTCTGAGTGGGCCTAGATATTACATTTAGCACAAAAAGTCTTTTGAAGCAGCTATTATAAATAAGGTCAAAGAGTTCCAAAGAATTGAAGGGAAATATGATATCTCAACAGGGAAATTATAACTATAAAAAATGGAAATTCTAGAGATGAAAATTACAAATGCGGAAATAAAAATTTTCTATGTAGGCTCGGTAACACATTATACATCGCAACAGAATCAGTGAAATTGAAGATAGATTCATAGAAATAGAAATTACTCAATCCAGAAAAGGAAAAAAGATTAAAGAAAAATAAAAGAAATCTCAGAAACCTGTGGGACAATATGAAGTGGTATACTATATGTGCAATTGTAATCCCAGAAGAAGAGAGGAAATGGTAGGGAAAAATGAAGAAATAATGGCTGAAAACTTTCTAAATGTAGCGGGAAACATTAATTTCAGATCCAAGAAGATTAACGAGCCCCAAGCAAGATAAACTTAAATCATTATCAGACTGCGGTGCTGTAAGCTAGAGATAAAAAGTCTGGAAAGCAGCAAGAGAAAAATGACACAAAGTGAGAAAAATGGCATACAGGGAAATAATAAGATTTATGGTTGATGTCGCATCAGAAACTGTGGAAGCCAGTCGACAGTGAAACAGCATATCCAAAGTGCTAAAAGAAAGTCTTTTAACTAAGAATTCTAGATCCAGTAAAACATCCTAAACAAGGAAATTGAAGTAAAGACATTTGCAGCAAACAGAAACATTGTGTTGCCAGTAGACGTGCACTACAATAAATGCTGAGGCCTTTTCAGTCTATTGTGTCTTGGAATTTAAAATGAATTTCTTATAGACACCATACAGTTGGTCCTTGCTTTGGCAAGCAGTCTTACATTCTCTTCCTTTTGATTACAGTGTTTAGTTATTTATATTTAATATAACTATCAATGTTGTATTTATTTATTTCCGTTATATTCTTACTTAATTTTTATTTTTCTCACTTTTCCCCTTCAATACTTCCTCACTTCTGTGTTAATCAGATATTTTTATTATTCCATTTTAATTTCTCTATTGACTTTCTATCTCTCTTTGCATTATTTTTAGTGGATATTTTGGGGGTTACATTATGCATCTTGAAGTTATCTGGTTCTACTTAGGGTT